TGCAATCGGAGTGAGTTTCAAAATTGTATCAGCATTCAGGGACTTATCTGGCCCCCCCCATTCCGAGGGATGAAGGGATCCAAGGGGCAGCGTCTGCTTTTTTACTCAGATTACATAGACTGGGTAGCTGCATGTCACGCCCTCCTGAAGTAGTATCAGAGCTTAATGGGACATCTGGAACCCCCCCGGGGGTGAAGAGATACGGGAAACAAGGGCCACATCACTATGATACACATACACCTGCTCAGTAAATCCCCTGGAGACAGGGCAATCAATGCGGGCAGGTCTCACAATCACTGTTCTCAGACATTCTCAGGTTCTGTCTAAGGGGCGCTGGACCCGTTTTCCAGCAGGTGATGCTCCCCACCAATAGATGGAGCCTCCCCCTAGGTGTTAGTGGTGACTGCTCCTATCAGCAGCACTAACACTGACAGGGCTGTTTGTTTAAAAAATAAAAATAAAAATAAAATAAAATAAAATAAAAATAAAAATAAAATAAAATGTATGGAACGACTTGTCTTTTAGTAGGGAAGTATTAAGTTTGTAGTATCCGGGGCCTTGGTCAGGGCGTTTACGGAAAGAGAAAATGGCCCCACATGCCCCACATTAGTGGTGTCTAATGGCGAATATCATTGCTGCATAGCAGCCAACAACATTTGGCCAAGGTCCTGCCAATGCTGGCTTGGAGAGCCAATGGGTTATCTCTAGCTGGTAGAACACCAAGCTTGCCAAACTGGAACCGTGACAGCACGCTAGCTTTCCCACAAAGATGAAGGGCCACGGGCTCAAACACTGTGCACAAGCTACCTTTAGGGACGGAAAAGAAAGAAGAAAATACTTTTGCATCTGTACCTGCTATTCCCAGTCCCCGTGCGCAACTTGCATCTGTACCTGGGAAATGGTCTGCACAAATTATTTGCATGCCCAGGGCGGTGGTGGGCCAAGGTTGGTACAGCCAAATTGCAGTTATGCCCAACTACCGGAATGCTCAAATTATGCTCATGCCCGCGCCAATTAGGTGCATACCCAATTTTGCCTGCCCGGTTCCTGAACATAAGCATCGTTTGGTGCTCCCCGACCAAGGGCCTCTGGGGGCCTGGGGCCTCTGGGACTGGGTACGCATATAAGTTGGTGCATGGATTAAGTACTGTAGAGATGCAAGTTGGGTGCTGGGGCCATGTCCCAATACCGTGGGTTTTGTTTTGGTTCCGTGCACTGTGTGCGCAGGGTGGGACATTGTGCGGAGGTGTGTGACTCTACACTTGTCGTGGAAAAAAAAAAGCTAATTCGAGGATGTCATTATGCGGAGGTGTGTGACTCTACACTTGTCGTGGAAAAAAAAAAGGTAATTCGAGGATGTCATCATGAGGCCTTTGCAGGTCTGTTGCCTCTGCCGACGAATTCGGTTTTGTTGTCCCAAACGAATCGGCCCCTTCATGGACATAGGGCCTGGCTCCACTACTCACCACATCGGTAAATGCGAATGAGAAGTGTTCTGCGTAATCATGGAAAGATAAACCATGAGGAGTGCTGTCTTTTATGCATGTGGAGTGGAAGCCCATAGCGTGTGACGATAGAGCCTACCCAGCTTTGCCCACAGGCGAAGGCCGACTGCCGTTTAGTCATTGATGGCCGAACTCATTTTCCACACTCTGTTCTGTGGTTGCTTGCATAGCTCTGTTGGTCGTCTGGTTCCTTCGCGTCTTCCTGGTACCGGCCATATCTCTGGTGGTAGCTTCCATACCAGAAAGACGGGAAGGAACCAGACGACCAACAGAGCTATGCAAGCTACCTTACCCATCCCCACGGCCGTGGATGGGTCCGTGGATGGGGAGGGTTGTGTGGATAGAACAGGAGAAAGCGTTGGGTTGGGCACCATTGTGGTCGTCAATTGTCACGGCGATGCGCATTCGTTGTAAATTCTTTTCACAGATATTTTACGTGCGTACTCAGAGGTTACTCGTTTTGTGTGTGTGTGTGTGTGTGTGTGTGTGTGTGTATTACTTTCGTTTTATTCAGAAGGAATACTCCGACGTACAGAGACAGAGACGGGGTTCTCCTTTCTTGCATACGCCATAGCATGCAAGAAACCAGAACCCTGATGCCCGCCCTGCCTATTCATAAAATAAATAGCCTGCCAATGACAGACGGCCTCTAGGCCCAACTACCTTCGCAATTCCTGACCGAGGGTGATGTCACACACTGACAAACAAAACAAAACCGAACGGTAGTGGGACAAGGCCCCTGGACTGGGTATTGCCGGCATTCCCATCTTTCTGTAAATGGTGTACAGATGCAATTTTCCTAAGAAATAAATACAGAAAGAAAGAAATGGTTGGTTGAGGCCGTGCAGAAGGAAGCCGAGTGACTCTTTGAGAGCGAACAAGTTTGCCCGGCCCGGGCAAGGCCAGTCTTGTCTCACGTCGAGCGTCTCTACACCGAACCCGCAGTCTCAACGTACTGTCTCTACTCTTCCCACCGCTTCCCAACCTTCTCCACCACTTCCCAACCTTCCCCACCCGTCCCCAACCGCCATCGCCATCGCCATCGCCATCATCGCCTACCGTGCATCAGCACCGCCATAGCCAGAAGCACAATCTGCCTCGGTAGCGACCCGGGAGTGTTTCCCTCAAGCTGCATCGCGGTCGTCTGTTTTTCCTGTCCGT